CACCTTGTTTGAAACCCCCGGTTCTCAGTGTCCACCTTCCGTTTTGCCATTTTTGATGGGTATCTGAAAGCTAATGTCACTGTTATGGGAACGACTGCTAGACTAATAAATATTTAAATAAAGCGGCCGACTGCTTGGCGCGTCACCGTTGCATTGTGGGAAATGTAGTATTGGTGCGTGTAAAAGATCTGCGGGCTCTCGGCTTGCTGCGGTCCGCAGGCCGGTTCTAATAATAAATCAATATCATCCCAGGGGCCACTGAAAACATTCTCGCGGGCCGGATCTGGCCCGCGGGCCGGCACTTTGACATATGTGATTTAGAGTGTTCAATCGGCCTGCCATGCATGATTTTTGGAATGTGGGAGGAAACCTGAGTACCCGAAGAAAACCCATGCAGGCCCGGGGAGAACATAACTCCACACAGGGAGGCCGGAGCTGGAATTGAACCCGGTACCTCTGCACTGTGAAGTCTACGTGCTAACCACTGGACTACCGGGCCGCCCGACATGAAACATATCAATCCAAATTGGCATTCCAAAATAATAATGGTGCAAATGCAGCAAAATTTAGGTTGTGAAAACATAAAAGACAACCAATAATAAAATACGGCTAATGACAAGGAAATAATTTTAACTGCAGGGTGAGAGAAAGACGGACACAATACCTTCCTCGATTGAATGTTGGAATAGTTACACTGTCTTGCTGAATGTATAAACTTTGCGTCTCTTTTGTTGTACCAGCTCAATGGTAAATTTGTTCAAATAAATAGCTGAACATAATGGCTGGCGCACCAGAGTTGGCTAGCGCTTTTCCTTCATCTTTTAAAAGTCACAATTTGGGATGACATTTCCACCTTGAAACCAGCTCCGAGCTATTTAATATACCTTTTACGCTACACAAACTGACATCAACACGCTTTTCAAGAGTGAGGTTCTTTTCACTCCACAGTGCATCCTGGGATCTTAGAATAAATGGAAACTGTAAACTTGTTCCCATCCAAATATTTTCACCCAAAATACGTTCCGTGTGTGTAGTCCATTCAGTTAAAAAATAAATACAGTAATCCCTCGCTACTTCGCGGTACGTTTATCGCGGGTTCAGTGCATCGCAGATTTTTTCAAACATATAAATGTTAATTGGACGCTACTTCGCGGATTTTTGTTTATCGCGGGTGGTTTTGATCCCTATTAACCACGATAAACGAGGGATTACTGTATATTAATTAAATCCCATAGCTGTACATCAATTCCAAATCATGAATAAGACGATAAATCGGTTGTGACCATATGCTTGACAGTAATAATTGTTTCCTGTAGAACAGTTGATTTCTAATCCCAACTACTATAACATGACACATTCATGTGCCATGAGTGGTCACCAAGTGCACTGCGAGAAATTATTCCATTCCACTTAATTGGTCTAAAAATTCTTTATGAACTGCTAGGCATGGGCCGATATTAGACAACAATTTAAGTATTGTATTTTCCGCACTGAAACGCGCACTGCATTATGAGGTGCAATCTACAATGCATCCACTAGATGGAGCTACGCTCCTTCCATTCGACTGGAAAGCCGTTCATGACCGCCTCCGAAAAACGTAAATTAACGATTACTTCAATGAAACTATGAAAATGAAAATAATGCATCAAAACAGAAAATCAAGCGAGGAAATCACAAAATAAATACTATAGCCCCCCTACAGAATTTATTTTGGCATTTCCTTGCGCGTAGCTCCAACAGAACGATCAGAGGTCAGTAAATGTAGAAGACTGGAATGTCTCAGAAGTGTTTATGTATTCCTTTGTTGTGTACTGTATTCACAATATTACTGTAGTGTACTGTATTCACAATAAAATCACAATATAAATTCTGTAGTGGGGGGGCTATAGAATTTATTTTGTGATTTCCTCGCTTGATTTTCTGTTTTGATGCATTATTTTCAATTTTTGTAGTTTTATTGAAGGAATCGTTAATTTACGTTTTTCAGAGGCGGTCCTGAACGCCTCTCGGGTCAAACGGAAGAAGAGAAGGCACGGAGACGGACAAAGACCTACCTGTATTTGTTGAGACTGTGAAAACCATTAATAAAGTGTGCTCTCCATTTTTCGGAGCTGCAACAAAAACTTATTTAATGAAGCAGCGACACAGTTCACTGAACTAACAGCAAGTTATAACATTGTAAGCATGTCTCCAGCAAGGAGTCAGCTTGGGGTCGACATATTACCGTAATGACCATACACAAGGCACACCGGATTTTAAGGTGCGCCGTGACCTTTTAAGAAAATGGAAGACTTTTCGGTGAGCCTTATAGTGCGGAAAATACGGTACGCGTCACTAGGTGACAGAAGGTACATAATTAACCTGTGTATCCACTTTTTGTGACATTTTGGAGACGCTGTTCTGTATATAATGTCTGTTGTTTTCATTTTGTTCTTACAATTATTGGATGTCAACAGTGGCCAATTCGTCATGGCATTGTAGAAGACTGGGACCTCATGGAGCGCTTCATGGAACAAATCATCTTCAAGTACCTGAGGGCTGAACCTGAAGACCACTACTTCCTCTTGGTGAGAACACTTCTTTGCTCTATATTGACTCAGCGTCTTGAATCATGGTTTGTGTCAACTTAGAACTTTTTGCAACCAAAATGAAAAAAAAAAGTAGCACTGTGCCTCTGTAGGCACATTTAAATTGCATGTCTTTAACTCATTCACTCCCAAAGACGTATTTAGATGTCTTTTCAGACGCCACACATTTAATCCCACCTCCTCATTTTATATTGACCGTACTTGAAAAGGGTCTGAAAATATATGTCATGTATTTTCATTTTCATTTCATTTTCATATACAGTATATGAAAATGTATTTTCAGACCCTTTTCAAGTACAGTCAATATAAAATGAGGAGCTGGGACTAAATGTGTGGCGTCTGAAAAGACATCTAAATATGTCTTTGGGAGTGAATGAGTTAATGGCCGATTACGGTTGACACTTTTTAAAAATGATTTGCGTCTACTTTCAAGTGACCTGTATTCAATATCACTGTATTTACATTTAAATTTGCTGAAGACCTAAAACAAACCGGCATACATAGAAATTAAAAATACAGATAAACTAGACTTCTGTAACATCAAGCTCAATGTAGGGTACTGTACAACAGAAGTTCCGAACCACCGGTCTGCCGCCGCATTTCGTACCGGGCCGTAGGGAGAAACAGACAAAATATATATATATATATATATATATATATATATATATAGTAAAACCACCAATCTGGACAAAGCATGACAGAAATTGATATCTGCACTATGGAACACATGAGCCCCTTAGAAACCCCATCAAATACCTTCCAGATGGCAATAATGTAAGCAGGGCTGGATGATTATATGTTCAAGAATCGTGATATTACTGTGACCAGCTGCGAGCCTATTCACGAGCTCAGATACGACAGAAATGTACTGGACAGCAGTCATTCAAAGTCCAGCTTTTCCTTCTCTACTTTGGTTTGCAAGAATTATTCTTGGACAGAATGTGTAGCAAAACGCGCAACTAAACACGCGGCTGATGGGCAGCCATGAGTTGCCGTTATCTTTTGAAGATGAAGCTTTTTTTGACAGAAGAACTGCCTCACCATCGCTTGGGTAGTGATGAAACGACTTGGAGTAAGTTAAGCTGTTGTTCAATTGAGGTATGGCCTCAAAAAAGGCAACACAACAATCCTTTTGAATCAGAACAATCTTGTTGAATCAATTGAAACTCCCAGCTGACCCACCACTTTTTTGTTGATGAGGCTTTACACTTCCGCCTCCAGGTTAGGAGGGGAGACTTTTGTTGCCCAGTTATGAGTAAAACAGACATTGCTCCCTGATTTTCCTGAGGGGGGCTTGTGGGGGGTGCAGAGTAAACTGTTGATTTGACTCGTGTTCAACTCCTGTGTCGTCAACCACAATATGTCCACATTGGTGACCCTGTGATGTAAGCACTATGTCAAACAACATTGGTAACAAAACTGACTTGTGGTTCCAGGTTAGGAAGGGTGACCGGTTGTCAGGTTTGAGGATAGCATAGCGGTCGAGCCGTTGTTAACTGTTGTTTTTGTGAAGTGGAGAGTAACCTGTTGACTGAAGTTGTCATGCAATGAGTATGCCTGTACTGCTCTGTACCTGTACAGATCATGACCATATGTGACAATGCAAACAGTTCTAAATATATTCAGAATATTTGTGTGTGTGTGTGTGTGTGTGTGTGTGTGTGTGTGTGTGTGTGTGTGTGCGTGTGTGTGTGTGTGTGTGTGTGTGTGTGTGTGCGCGTGCGTGCGTGCGTGCGTGTGTGTGTGTGTTTTTAATAAATTACAGACAGAGCCTCCTCTGAACACACCAGAAAACCGAGAATACACAGCAGAGATCATGTTTGAATCCTTCAACGTACCAGGACTCTACATTGCCGTGCAGGTCAGAACCTTAAACTTAATGTTCCGCTTGTATTCGAAAGATGCTGAACTATTGAATGATTATGTCCACATTTTGCTTGAATAACAAAATCAACGTGTGACATTCAATACAGGCCGTGCTTGCTCTCGCAGCATCCTGGACGTCCAGGCAAGTAGGCGAGAGGACCTTGACCGGCACTGTGATTGACAGTGGTGACGGTGTAACCCATGTCATCCCTGTGGTAAGTGGGCTGACAAGCATATCCTCATTACAGTCACACAAATGACCCTTTTCTCAGTCTTCATATTTCTCTCTTCTCCTTCATTTTTCTCTTAAGAAATCTGTCGAGTCTAACAACCGTCTATCCATTTATTTTCTCCCGCTTTTTCTGATACAACTCCCGGGGGAGCTGGAGTCTGTCCCAGCTGACTTCGGGCGAGAGACAAGAGGCACCCCATCATTGTAGCCATAAAGTGTTTTGGTGCTGGCATTCTTATTTTAAATCAGACTTCCTTTAAGTTAACAGCTGACTTTCATCTTGATTTGTACAAAAAAAAAATGGTTTACTGGCTGAACTATAAAAGAAAATATAGCTGGGCGAAATGACCAAAAAGGTGGTTTAAACAGTTGTCATAGAGGACCACTCGGCAGGATGCAGAGCAGATGAAAAAGATGCTTATATTCCACATTTGGTACAGGGTGTGTGTGATGACCTACAACACAGGTGTCAAACTGAAGGCCTGTTGGCCAGATCTGGCCCGCTACATTATTTTCTGTGGCCTGCGAAAGCAAATCAAGCAGGTCAACTCACATGATGCTTGTTTAAAATCTGTACCAAAATTTCAACTTGTCATATTGCAAGCATTTTCTTGTTACGTTATTAGAGTAACTTGAACAACATTTGAACAAACTACTATGCTTGACTTGTGATTTCAAAACTACTTCTCCATTAATTGTGTCCTGTATTTTTAATAATACAATCATAATGGCCCGCCGAGGGAAACTGTGACTACAATGTGTATGTGACAAATGTGTGTGTGTGTGTGTGTGTGTGTGTGTGTGTGTGTGTGTGTGTGTGTGTGTGTATATATATGTTATGTTATCACTCAATAGGGCATTTATTTTGAGTTGTCAAATTGGAATACCCCTGCCCCATTTCCCCAAATTAATCGAAGAAAGATTTTTTTCCCAATAACAGTGTTTCAAACATCGGAAGGATTATGCAGCTCACAAACATGTTCTTGCACAGCACATTACAGTTGCGGGGTGATTGAATCACAATGTTTGTGGTCTTAATAGGCACAAAAATATATGTGTTTATGCACTTGGGCTCTCATTACATGAATGTAATTGACATCAGTGTGTAAAATTCTACTGTTTTGCACAACGCCAACCTTATTAGCAAGTTGGATGGACGCCTCTTTCTTTCCTCTCATTGTTAATTTTTTCTTGTCCTCTAGGCTGAAGGTTATGTTATTGGCAGCTGTATAAAGCACATTCCCATCGCAGGACGAGACATTACTTATTTCACCCAGCAGCTTCTAAGAGAGAGGGAGGTGGGCATCCCACCAGAGCAGTCACTGGAGACAGCCAAGGCAGTAAAGGTTTGTCCTCATCTTCAGTTTAATTTGCTCCATATTTATTTTACATTACCCATCACTTTTTCAACCATAGTTGGAGGGTTTAACCCAATCTGAAGAAAATGATAAGAAAATCAATGCCAAGTGAATGTTGTATGCAGTATACATTCAATGAAGCTGCAGTCCTTTGACACTTTACCACTGGCACAACACAGCCTATCCATTTGTACGCTGCCTTAAAATATGTATTTGCCCTCTTCTGATTTTTTTCTAATCTTTTGCATATTTTTGCCAATTTAATGTTTACAATCATGAAAGAAATGTAAATAATTAGACAGATAACCCATGTAAGATTTTATTTTTTAAAAATGGGGGGCGGGGAAACAATTCAAAATTTCCTGGTCCTATGTGAAAACTACTTGCCAACTGGTCGGGCCATCCCCAACCTCAATAACTGTATATATTTTGGCCCACTCTTCCTTACAGATTTGCCGTCTTTTAGCGACACTGGCGGGTTTGAACATGAACAGTCTTTTTATGGGCACAGCATTTTGCTCTGATGCAAGTCCATACTTTGACTTGGCCACTTCAAAACCTTCATTTTGTTTTTAGTAACCCGTTCAGAAGTTGACTTGCCGGTGTGTTGTCCTACTGCAGAACCCAAATTGCGCTTCAGATTTAGGTCACAGACTGATGGCCAAACATTCTCCCTCATGATTTTCTGGTAAAAGGCCAGGTCCTGAAACAAACTGTATTAGAAATTCCTCACATTAATAAGAGACATACAGATACAGAATGTAAGGCAGTTGAGGGTTAACATTATAGATACTGATTGATTTAAAAAAAATGCAATCATTTCCTCTGCTACGTGCTGTGAAGTGGTTGTATAGTTTCCTGCAAGGAGAACCTCTGACTTCTATGAAACTTAGAATGATATCAAAATACCGGTAATATACTTTCGGAAAAGTTGTTCAGTGGGAGCCATGATTGTTATGAAATATGTCAGATTTCATCCTGTTGATTTGAGCAAGTTTGTCAGGATATTACTGCCGTTCTTATTTTCCTGTGTGATGGTAAGACTCATAATGTAAACTCATAATGTCCCTTTTAGGAACGGTTCAGCTACGTGTGCCCAGATCTTGTGAAAGAGTTCAACAAGTATGACACAGACGGCTCCAAGTGGATTAAGCAATACACCGGCATCAACGCCATCAGTAAGAAAGAGTTCACTATTGATGTGGGATATGAGCGGTTTCTGGGACCTGAGATCTTCTTTCACCCTGAGGTAAGTTAAAAATACAACAAAAAAAAAAATCCCACCACAAACAAGTTTATTTGTCTGACAGTCAGAATGACCTAAACGTGAACTTAATATAACCCTGCGATGAAAATTTATTGAATTCTGATCCCTCTGAACGTTAAGCTGTATGTTCGTCACCTTGATCCATTTAAGAGACTTTAGCTAAATGCTAAGCTGTCAGGGGCCCCCAACCTTTTTTGCCCCATGGACCGGTTTATGTCAGACAATATTTTCAGGGACCGGCGTTTAAGGCGTGGCGGAAATAATACAACAAAATAATATGGTCTGAATGCATGAAAACTGTGGCGTTTTCGAAATATAATAATAAATACAAGGAGCGTCTAATCTGGCCGCAACACTCCGATCGCCATGGGCGTCATTAGGCCTATTTTAGGGAGGCTTCAGCCTCCCTAAAAATGTCTTTAGCCCCCCTAAATAATTTCATTGCATTATTTAAAAAAAAGTATTATTTATTTTTCCTGTACTTTTGCTAATATATTGCATCAAATTCAATGTAATGTGGCCATTTTAAATTATATTTCGATAAC